AATTTATACTTAAGGTACATGAGATGTTTTATCAAATAAGAAATCATAACCACATTAAAATGTTCTAGAGATTATATAAAAATCTCCAAGAGTCTATAAATTCTGAGACTTTCATTTATAACTGATTGTTATTCTGGAATGTTGTCTCTTTTTTTCTTTTAAATATATTTTATTGATTTGTCACAGAGAGGAAGAGAGAGGGACAGAGAGTTAGAAACATCGATGGGAGAGAATCATCGACCAGCTGCCTCTTGCACACCCCCTACTGGGAATGTGCCCGCAACCAAGGTACATGCCCTTGACCGGAATCGAACCCAGGACCTTTCAGTCCGCAGACCGACTCTCTACCACTGAGCCAAACCGGTGCCGGCTGGAATGTTGTCTCTTACAGAAAGAACATGATTAGGTGTCAATTACATTATAACCCTATAAGATTAAAAGTTAATATGCAGCCCTAACTGGTTTGGCTCAATGGATAGAGCTTTGGCCTGCAGACTGAAGGGTCCCAGGTTCGATTCCAGTCAAGGGCATGTACCTTGGTTGCGGGCACATCCCCAGTAGGAGTTGTGCAGGAGGCAGCTGATAGATGTTTCTCTCTCATCAATGTTTCTGACTCTCTATCCCTCTCCCTTCCTCTCTGTAAAAAATCAATTATATATACATATATATATATATTTTTTTTTAAGTTAATATGCAAATGGACCAAAGGGTGGAATGACCAGTTGCTATGATACGCACTGACCACCAAGGGGCAGATGCTCAATGCAGGAACTGCCTCCTGGTGATTTGTGTATTCCCCTGGGGGGGGGGGGGGGGGGCTGCTCAGCCACAAGCCAGGCTGATGACTGCAAGAACAGTGGTGGTGGCAGGAGCCTCTCCTGCCTCCTCAGCAGCTCTGAGGATGTCTAACTGCGCTTTAGGCCCACTCCATGGGCAGCGGACCTAAGCTGTTAGTTGGACATCCCCCAAGGGCTCCCATACTACCAGAGGGCACAGGCTGAGCTGAGGGATCCACTGTCCCTCTCAATACCCTCCCAGTGAACGTGCACTGGACCTCTAGTTAGATCTATAACTATTAAAGGGCAGGAGGAATAGGGAAACTGAGGGAAATTAAGATAAGGCCACACAGGGTGGGCCATTTGCAGCCAGCTTGTAACTAAAAGCCATTTTCTTCCCCAGCCCAGGGCACAGCAAATGGTTAAAAGCCTCCCTAAGGAGATGGTTGGGGACGAGCAGGGGGAGGTGCGGGAAAAGGGCAGCTTTCCTCCCTAAGCAGAGAAGCCCGCAGTGTCGGGCTTGACAAGATAGCGTTGCCAGGTGCCTCTCTTGTGTTCTGGGAAGGCCTCAACAAAGGAAACAGGGGCCTTGAGAGTTACTAAAGGAATTTTGAGACCTATAGACCAGAGGGTAGATAGGGCCCAGACCCACCCAGCCTGCTCTTCCCATGAGCTGAGAGCCTTCTATGCTTCATGAGCCAGGTGAAAAGGTTTCCTCGCTTTGCTTTTTCAATAAAGGTGCATGCTCCAACTGCTTTAACACAGGTTTTCAAATGCAGTCAAGCCAGGACTGGTTTGGCTCAGTGGATAGAGCGTCAGCCTGTGGACTGAAAGATCCCGGGTTCGATTTCGGTCAAGGGCATGTGCCTTGGTTGCAGGCATATCCCCAATAGGGGGTGTGCAAGAGGCAGCTGATCGGTGATTCTCTCATCGTTGTTTCTAACTCTCTATCCCTCTCTCTTCCTCTCTGTGAAAAACCAATAAAAATATATTATATTTAAAAAAAAAATGCAGTCAAGCTCATTTGCATGAGAACAAGGGTCAGGGTTGGGGACAGCCTCTCCCTCTGGCTCAGGGGGCTGTCCTGTCCGGGAACACCTCTCTGGTGCCTATAACATAACCATGTCATTTTAAGGTGTGTTGGTTTTCCCATTTGTTTTCCCATTTAGAGACAATCACTATTTTGTTATGATACATTTATTAAAATGTTACATCTTCTGAGAGATCCCTGGAAAGGACTCTTTATTTTAAACTAGAGGCTCGATGCATGAAATTTGTGCATGGGGGGGAGTGGGCTGTCCTCAGCCCAGCCTGCATCCTCTCCAATCTGGGATCCCTTGAGGGATGTAGGATTGGGCCTAAACAGGCAGTTGGATACCCCTCACAATCCAGAACTGCTGGCTCCCAACTTCTTGCCTGTCTGCTTTCCTGATTGCCCCTAACCGCTTCTGCCTGCCAGCCTGATCACCCCCTAACCACTCCCCTGCCAGCCTGATTGATGCCTAACTGCTCCCCTGCCAGCCTGTTTGCCCTTAACTGCCTTCCACTGCCCACCTGGTCACCCCTAACTGCCGTCCCCTGTAGGCTTGATAGCCCCCACGGCCAGGGCGGACACTCCCCCCTCAACCCCCGTTACCGGAAGTGTGCGGGGAGGGGCTTTGCTGATGCCACCGCCTTTGGAACCGGAAGAGGCTTGTCTGAGTACAAGGGCTCTCTTTTCCTTTCCCCAGGACTGTCATTCACACTTAAAATCCACCTCAGAGTCTCACGATCCCAACCTCGCGGAGCAGCCTCTGGCTCTGAGGACAGGAGCCCCCCCAGGACAGGGTGCCCCCGTCTCCATAGAGGAGAGAACACCCCGCACTCAGTGACCGGTGCTGTCAGACTCTCAGGGTTCAGACCCGCCACCGGTCCCCGGTCTGCCAGCCGCTAGGACGGTCCCCGTCTTCTAACGGACGGATTCACACACCCACAGGAGACGGTAACGGGACCCTCCTGCACAGCGTTCACACGGCGCACATCCAGACTTCACAAGGCCCGTTAGAAGCAGCGTCTCTCCTCCGGCTTCAGGGCCGCCCCCAGAACCTCAGCATTAACCAGCGGACCATGTGGCCACGTGCCTACGCCGATGGTTTGCATTCCCCTGGTGCCATTTCCGCCGTTTTCCAGCATCATGGAGAGGTGGGCCCGGGCCCAGGGCCGCCTACAGGCAGTGGGGCGCCTGCCTTCGAACAGCCTTTCTTCGCGCGGGCGTGGGAAAGTCCCGGGAGCATCCCTAATTCACCTTTCCACACTTCCAGTGGACCGGGAGGGAAAACCTGGCGAAATGAGACTTAAGAATGCTCCCAGAGCGGGCGACCGCTTCACAGAATCCCGATGGAGGCGAAGCGTCACCAGCACTTAACGCGCCAGCTGAGCAGCTGTCTGCGGTCACGCCGACTCCTCTGACCGGCTGGAGCTTCTGCAGGTGGACACAGCTGGCTGGCCCTCCTGTCCCAACTCTTGCCTAGCAGTTTCCCAGGCCCCTCACCAAGGAGGCTTCGGAGTGAAGCTTAGTGGGTCCTGCACCGGGGGGCGGCGGGCTTGGCCGGATGCTATGGGCCTGCTGGGCAGAGCACAAGCACAGGCAGGGACTCTCCCGCTAAGCCTGCGTGGGGCCTGGGCGGGCGTGGACGTGTGGAGGGTCAGAGATGTGCTGCTCGGAACCGTGTCTGTCTCTCCCAGCTGCCTAGACAGCCGAGGACCCGGTGCCAGTGACCAGCCTGTGTGCATCCCCCGGCCAGAGTTTAACTGCACGCCCTGTTCCTGCGAGGCCCCTGCCGTCTGTTAGGGTTCAACAACCCAGGCACACTCCCCCCCTGCGAGGTCCGGTGCCCTCGTAAGGACATTGGGGATGCTGAGCCAGGGGAAGAGATGCCGGGCAGAGGTCCAGCACTCAGTCCGTGGCTGGGCTTTATCTGGTGATGGGCGGGGCCTCGTGCTCTAAGGGGACCGGCACCAGTTCATCCTCCGGGAGACTACCTGACTGACCCATTTGGCCCGGGAGAATACATCCAGAAAGGAGGGGGGGAGAGAGAGAGAAGAGAGGAGAGGGGAGGGGAGGGGAGAGAGGGAGAGGGGGGAGGGGAGAGAAGAGAGGAAGGGGAGAGGGGGGAGGTGAGGGGGAGAGAGAGGAGAGAGAGAGAGACAGAGAGAGAGAGAAAGAGAGAGAGAGGAGAGAGGGGAGGGGAGGGAGGGGAAAGGGGAGAAGGAAGAGGGAGAGGGAGAGGGGAGAGGGGAGAGGGGAGAGGGGAGAGGGGAGAGAGGAGAGGAGAGGAGAGGAGAGGAGAGAAGAGAGAGAGGAGAGAGGAGAGAGGAGAGGAGAGAGAGAGATGCCCGGTTTTAGACGGAAGCCAAGTGTAAGTGGCTGGCGGGCGGCCGTCCGCCTCCAGAATCCTAAGACCGAAATGAGGCCGAACCCGGGGCTGCTCACCACTGGGCGAGGAGAATCTCCGCGCCAGCGCCCGTGTGACACGGGTTTGGACCGGACCCGGGCTCACTGTCCGCCGGCACCGGAGCGGGAAGCAGAGGGTAGGAGACCCAGCACAGGCGCCACGGGGACGGACACTCCCCGCCCGGGTTCAGTCGGCCTCGTCCCGGGGGTCCACGTGGGTCGGTGCCCCAGCGCGGTGGCTGCCGGCATCCCGGTAGGAGGGAGCCCAGGGCCCGGCGTCCCGCAGGGAAGGGACGTGACTTCAGACCCACAGGGACGGGGCGGCGAGGTCAACCCCGGGAACCTTCCAGTTCAAAGGCCTCCAGCCCGTGTGGGCCCTCACGCCGGAGGCAACGCGGAGCGCGGCTGCAGGGGGCGGTGGCCCTTTACCGCCCACCGCCGGGCCCGCCATCCCCGTGCCCGCCATCGCCGTGCCGTTCTCTCTGGTTTTTAATTTCTTTATTGATTACGGCGCTACATTCGCCTTCACTTGGCGTCGGCTCCGGGCCCTCCCGCGCAGCACCGCACCCCCCGCGGGGCCTCCGCTTCCCCGCTCCATCCACCTCCCGGGAGGACCGCCCCGGCCGTGACGTACCTCCGGGCGGCGGGCGCGGGGCGGGGCGGGGCGGGCGGGCGCGGGGCGGGGCGCGGGCGGGGCGGCGGGCGCGGGGCGGGGCGGCGGCGCGGGGCGGGGCGGGGCGGGGCGGCGGCGGGCGCGGGGCGGGGCGGCGGCGCGGGGCGGGGCGGCGGGCGCGGGCGGGGCGGCGGGCGCGGGCCCTCAGACCTCCTCCGCCGCCTCCGCCTGGGCCGTGGGCCCGCAGGCGCCGGCGCGGAGCCCATGAAGGCGCGGGCGGGCGGCGCAGTCCTGCCGGGGCGCCGGGAGCCGGAGCCGGCGCGGCCTGAGCGGGGAGCCCGCGGCGGGAGTCATGGCGGAGGAGCGCGCGGCCGTGCGGGCCGCCGGCGGAAGCGGGGTGAGCGGGGTGAGCGGGGCCGCGGCGCCCTGAGGCCAGCGCTCTGGTTTCCCCTCAGCGGCGGCGGCGGGTTGGCGGGCTCCGGGCGGGCAGCCCGCGGGCCGGGGCCGGGCCGGCTCTGCGGGAGGTGCGTGCGCTGCAGCCGGGCGGCGCGGTGCGGGCGGAGGGCCACGGCGTCTCGGCGGCACCTCGCGGGGCCTGTCGTGTCGGGAAAACTTTTCCCGCCGCCCGCCGGGTCCGGGAGACTCCTGGGAGCACTCCAGGCCGAGGAGAGGTCTCCCGGAGGAGGGGTCTCCCTCCCGGAGGAGGGGTCTGTCTCCCGGAGGAGGGGTCTCCCTCCCGGAGGAGGGGTCTGTCTCCCGGAGGAGGGGTCTCCCTCCCGGAGGAGGGGTCTGTCTCCCGGAGGAGGGGTCTCCCTCCCGGAGGAGGGGTCTCTCCCGGAGGAGGGGTCTGTCTCCCGGAGGAGGGGTCTGTCTCCGGAGGAGGGGTCTCCCTCGGGAGGAGGGGGTCTCCCCCCCCCCGAAGAAGGGTCTCCCTCCCGAGGAGGGGTCTCTCTCCCGGAGGAGGGGTATTGTCTCCCGGAGGAGGGGTCTCTCTCCCGGAGGAGGGTCTGTCTCCCCGGAGGAGGGGTCTGTCTCCCGGAGGAGGGGTCTCCCTCGCGGAGGAGGGGTCTCCCCCCCCCCGGAGAAGGGTGTCTCCCTCCCGGAGGAGGGGTCTCTCTCCCGGAGGAGGGGTCTGTCTCCCGGAGGAGGGGTCTGTCTCCGGAGGAGGGGTCTGTCTCCCGGAGGAGGGGTCTCTCTCCGGAGGAGGGGTCTCCCTGAGGAGGGGTCTCCCTCCCGGAGGAGGGGTCTGTCTCCCGGAGGAGGGGTCTCCCTCCCGGAGGAGGGGTCTGTCTCCCGGAGGAGGGGTCTGTCTCCCGGAGGAGGGGTCTCCCTCCCGGAGGAGGGGTCTCCCTCCCGGAGGAGGGGTCTGTCTCCCGGAGGAGGGGTCTCTCTCCCGGAGGAGGGGTCTCCCCCCCGGAGGAGGGGTCTGTCCCCCGGAGGAGGGGTCTCCCTCCCGGAGGAGGGGTCTCCCTCGCGGAGGAGGGGTCTCCCTCCCGGAGGAGGGGTCTCCCCCCCGGAGGAGGGGTCTCTCTCCCGGAGGAGGGGTCTCCCCCCCGGAGGAGGGGTCTGTCTCCCGGAGGAGGGGTCTGTCTCCCGGAGGAGGGGGTCTGTCTCCCGGAGGAGGGGTCTGTCTCCCGGAGGAGGGGTCTGTCTCCCGGAGGAGGGGCCGGGCCGGAGCCGCGCAGCCCCCGGGGCGGCTGCCCGCCGGTGGAGGGCCCGGAGCTATCCGGGGCCGGGCCGGGCCTGGCCGGGCCCGGCTGGAACCGGGGCGGCCTCCGCACAGCCCGCGCCGGGGCTGGTTTGGAAAAGGCTGAGCGGGTCCCCATCCCCACAGCGTCCCGCGCTGGCGGAAGGGGCCGGGGCCTTTCCTCCCGGCTCCCAGGCCCGCCTCCCGCCCCCGCCCTGCCGGCCGCCCTGGGCTCCGCGGGGGAAGGCGCAGGTCTGGCTTCCCGCGTCCCGGCCCGTTCCTCGGCATTTCTGACCTAGATTTTGACTGTCTCTCGCTTACCACACGGCAGCTGCCTCCGCACTGGGTGTCGCTGTGACCCCAGAGGCCAGCAGGGCCCTGGCTGCGCCCGGGGGTGGGAAGGGCCCGCCGGCGGAGCACCGCGCTGGGGAGACGGCACGCCTGGAATCCAGTTGCCGCCTTAGTTCACATAACTTGGGGCGAGTGGCACAACCTCCCTGAAGATCTTGAGGGTGCCACCGCCTGCACCTAGTGAGCCCTCAGTAATATTAGCTGTTTTCTTTTTTTAAAATATATTTTATTGATTTTTTACAGAGAGGAAGGGAGAGAGATAGAAAGCTAGAAACATCGATGAGAGAGAAACATCAACCAGCTGCCTCTTGCACACCCCCTACCGGGGATGTGCCCGCAACCAAGGTACATGCCCTTGACCGGAATCGAACCTGGGACCTTTCAGTCCGCAGACCGACGCTCTACCACTGAGCCAAACCGGCTTCGGCTATTTTTCTTATTTCTCAATATTTTTGGCATGAATGATTGGTCAGATTCTATAGGGGTTCCCTGATTAATGAGTATTCAGTTCTCTCTGTTTTACTAATTTGTACAGGAACTAGAACCCATTCTGAAGATTAAAATTGTTAATTAGGTGTTAGAGCAGGAACTTTTGAGGTATGTTTACTTAAAGAAACCTAGGCAATTTATTCCCAGATTCCTTCTCTGAACCCTGAAGGTAGTTTGGGCACAAGTAGATTTTCATGTCCAGGCTTCCCTTTTCTCTGAAGGCGCAGAGTCACTTCGTGTTAACACATTGCGACGGGAGAGGGAGGGAGTGCCTGGTGCTGACGCAGTGAGAGCGGCGCCTGTGGCCCGTGTGGAGGGGGGCGTGTGGCTGAGAGCAGTGGTGCCTGTAGTCAGGTCTGTTAAGGCATAGCCAGTGCCTCCAAAGTGTATCTCCCTGCTTGCAGTTTCTGTTTGCTAGCGTGTCACTGCAGGTCCCAGGACGTGGTTTTATTTTAATGTGTTAGAATTCCCCTAGAGCTTGACTTCATGGCGTTGGGTTCTGCCCATGTTACTGCGCTAAGGAAGTGGCTGCTGCCTTTTTCTACCTTGTTTGGCCCAGAGGTATATTGACCTAAAAGTGATATTGACAAGGAGAGGTTAACCTGAATAAGAGACGGGAACCAAGTGAGCATTGCCTTCTGTGAAGGGGAGGTGTGCGTTAATTTTTTATCTGGTGCAGCGTGTGAATGGAGTTCTTTCTGCACATGGTAGATAACCACTTGCTATATCATTTGTTGAAAAGGCGTTTTTATTCACTGAGTTGCTTTTGTAGCCTTGTCAAAATGTTAGTCTATTCTGGATTCTCTTTCATTGATCTATTTGTTTATCTTTACATTAACACTATTCAGTCTCTGTTACTGGAAGTTCATAAGACAAAATGAGAGCTAGTTCTATGACTTTGTTCTCTGTTAAAATTGTTTTGGCTATTCTGGGGTCTGCATTTTAGAAGTAATTGAATCAGCTTTATAAATTTATACCAAAAAGCCTGGTGGTATTTTCTTTTTTATCCTATATAATAAGAGCTAACATGCAAATGGTTGTCACACTGTCATGCTGCAACCTGAAGCTGCGCCCCCCTCCCCCCCCCCAGCACCAAAACTGAAGCTGCAACCCTGTGGGACTTGACAGGGGTGGCCATAGGGGGAGCAATTGGAGGCAACCATGTTGGTGGTGGGAGGGAAGGTGGGGGACAGCAGGCCAGCAGGGGGGACAGTTAGGGGCAATCAGGCTGGCATGCAGGTAGGTGAGCAGTTAGGAGCCAGTGGTCCCAGATTGTGAGAGGGATGTCCGACTGCTGGGATAGGGCCTAAATGGACATCCCCCAAGGGGTCCCGGATTGGAGAGGGTGCAGGCTGGGCTGAGGGGACTCCCCCCCCCCATGCATGAATTTCATGCACCAGGCCTCTAGACTACACTAATACAAGAGTAAGATGCAAATTGTACCTTCATGATGCTCACCAGTCAATCAGGCGTGAGTATGCAAATTGACCCAACAAAGATGGTGGGTTAATTTGCATACACAGGCTCTAAGCAGCTGGGGGTGGGATACTCTGGGCCTCTGGGCAGTGTGGAAAGGCGGCTCCAGCAGCCAGGGGAAGGAAGGCCATTCTTGCATGAATCTTCATGCATTAGGCCTCTAGTATATATACACTGAGTGGCCAGGTTATTATGATCTCTGAATGCATAATAATCTGGCCACTCATTGTACATCCTATAAAATAGAAGGCTAATATGCAAATTGTCCTGACTAGGAGTTCACCTAGCAGGTAGGCCAGCCAACTGACCATGTCCCCTACCCCTGGCCAGGCTGGCTGGACCCCACCCATGCACATATTCATGCACCTGGCCTCTAATATATAATTTACACACACACACACACACACTGAATGACCTGATTATTATGCTTTCAGAGATCATAATAATAATAATCTGGTCACTCAGTGAATATTTCCTTATTGATTTAACAGAGGAAGGGAGAAGGGGAGAGAGAGAGATAGAAATGTTAATCATCGATCAGCTGCTTTCTGCACACCACTTATTGGGGATCAAGCCCACAACCTGGGCATGTGCCCTTAGCCAGAATTGAACCTGGGACCTTCAGTCCACAGGCCGTCGCTCTGTCCTCTGAGCCAAACCTGCTAGGGCCCTGCTGGCATTTTCAATGGGATGGTGTTGATTCTGAAGATAAGTTTGGCGAGAATTAAAAACAATATTGAGTGTTCTGATCCATGAATGCATTCTCTCTCCATTTATTTTAGATCTTATTTCATTTCTCTCAGCTGTGTTTTGTAGTTTTCAGTGTATAATTCTTCCACAACAGTTGTCAGATTATTCCCTATTTCATATTTTGGTGCTATTGTACATATAATGTAAATATAATACAAACGTAAATTTTTTTAATATATATATTTTATTGATTTTATATATATATATTTTATTATTATTATCATTATTATTATTATTATTATTATTATTGATTTTTTACAGAGAGGAAGAGAGAGCTAGAAACATCGATGAGAATCATTGATCAGCCGCCTCTTGCACACCCCCTACTGGAGATGTGCCCGCAACCAAGGTACATGCCCTTGACCGGAATCGAACCTGGGACCTTTCAGTCCGCAGGCCAACGCTCTATCCACTGAGCCAAACCGGTTTTGGCTTTATTGATTTTTTTTACAGAGAGGAAGAGAGAGGGATAGAGAATTAGAAATATTGATGGGAGAGAATCATCAATCAGCTGCCTCTTGCACACCCCCTACTGGGGATGGGCCCGCAACCAAGGTACATGCCCTTGACCAGAATCGAACCCAGGACCTTTCAGTCTGGAGGCCAACGCTCTATCCACTGAGCCAAACTGGTTTCAGCACAAATGTAAATTCTTTAAAAAAAATTAAATTCACAATTGTTTATTGCTAATATATGGAAATAAGAGTTGATTTAAGAAATATTTATAATAGCCATATTTAACAAAATTTACCATTTTAACCATTTTAAGTAGTTCATTAGTGTTAATTATGTTACATTATTTTACCATCAATCTTCATAACTTCTTTATCTTGTAAAACTGAGACTTTATATATCCATTAAATAGCAACTCCCATTGACTCCATCACAAATCCCCTAGTAACCACCATTCTGCATTCAGCTTCTCAGTTTGACTCCTCTAGTTACCTCATATAAGTGAAGCCATCTACTGTTTGTCTTTTTGTGACTAGCTTATTTTACTTAGACATGATGTCCTCAGGGTTGTTGATACGTGTTGTCATCAATACTGTTGAAAGGATGTGTGGCATGTGTCATAATTTTCTTCCTTTTAATACTGCATAGTATTTCATTTTATGTATATATACCACTTTTTGTTTCTCCATTTATCTGTTGATGAGTACTTGGGTTGCTTCTATCTTTTTGCTGTTGTGAATAATCTGCTGGAACATGAGTATACAAATACCTTTTTTTGAGCTCCTGCTTTCGGTTCTGAATATCTATCCAGAAATGGGATTGTGGGGTCACCGGGTAATTCTATTTTTAATTATCTGAGCACGTGCCATAAAATTTCTCAAATGGCTGCAGCCTTTACTTCCCTGCCAACAGTGTACCAGGGTTCTCATTTCTTCACATCCTCGCCAACACTGTTGTTTTCTGTTGTTTTTTTGTTTTTGATGATGGGTGTGAGGTGATGTTTCATGTTTTATATTCTGCACTCATCTAATAATGAATGGTGTTGAGCATCTTTCCATGTTTATTGGTCATATATTCCCATATGTTTCCCTATGTTTATTTGTATATCTTCTTTGGAGAAATGTCAACTCAAGTCCTTTGCCCGTTTTTAAATCTGGTTATTTGGGGTGTGTGTGTGTGTGTGTGAGTGTATGTTTTTTGTTTTGTTTTGTTTTTGCGTTGTAGAAGTTTCTAATATATTCCGGATATTAGCTCATCAGATATGTGTTTTACAAATATTTCCTCCACAGTTCCACAAGTTGCCTTTTCATTCTGTTGATTTTCTTTTGATTTATAGAAATTTCAAATTTTGATAAAGTCCAGTTAAAGTTTGTAATTTTGAGGAAGCCCATATCTGTTTTTTCTTTTGTTGCTTATAGTTTGGAATCATATCTAAGCATTCATTACTAAATCCAAGATTTACATCTATGTTTCCTGTGAGGGGTTTTGTGGTTTTAGCTGAGGTCATCATTCATTTTAAGTTACTTTTTATACATGGTGTGAGGTAGGGTCCAGCTTTATTCCTTACCAGTGGAAATTCAATTTTCTCAGCTCTCCTTGTTGAAGCAGTTGTTCTTTCCCCACTGAATGGGATTGGCACTGTTGCCCAAAATCAGCTGGACATGCATACATGGCTTGTTTGTGGACTCTCCTTTTTATTCAGTTGGTTTGTATGATGGCTTCTCTGTCTTTTGCTTTCATATTGACAGGTCACTGATGTTTACTGGGATTCTGTGTGAAACATGTGGGAGTAATTTTTAACCTTATCTTTTTCCAACTGGCAACAGATGACCCGATGGATAAAAGCCGTATGCCCTACTTTATCTGAACTCCACAGGTCAGAGTGAAACAGCAGGTGAAGGGTTAGTAGAGATTGTCCCTTTGCCAGATTCCTTCGTGTGGGGAAAGCATGGGGAAAGGTCTGCTGTGCTTTGCTTAAGGAGCGCTCTACATTTGACTCCTATTTGCCTCTTACTCAGGTTGCTGCAGTCCAGGCTGCCTGCCTTGTATCTGTGCTAATTCCATTTGGGGAGAAGTTTGGGCTAAGAAAAAGGCAGTGTAAGTGATACAGTGGTAACACACTCCGGAGGTATCTGACTCTGGATGGAATACCAGCTTACTGACCGTTTCAGTTGGGCAAGTTACAAGTAAATTCTTCATCTGAGTTTTGTCATCTATAAAATTAGGGGTTAATAATAGTTACTATCTCAAAAGTGTAGCGTTTGTGATCAGTGTGTGGCATAGTGTCTGTGGCCACTGTCCCAGGATGCTGTTTTGCCTGGGCATAGCTCAGGATTCTTTGTAATAGACTGTCCTTATCCTTCAAAGTATTCATTTCCTTTTAAATATTACATCCATGAAATGGGAGCAGGAATAATTTCTCTGGTTGCTAGTATTGTCCCCGGCAGCTAGCTGACATATGTAGATAGAGCTCAGCAAGTAACTAATCAGTTGGAGTTGAGTACTTTTATTCTTTTTCTTTTTTTAAATAAACCCCAGTTTTTGGGAACCCACTTTATTTTCATTTATTTATGTTGTTAATCCTTACCCAAGGATATTTTTCCCATTGATTTTTAGAAAGGGTAAAAGAAAGAGAGAAAGAGAAACATCGATGTGAGAGAGACACATCGATTGGTTGCCACATGCACACCTGACAAGGGCCGGGGGTTGAACCTGCAACCCAGGTATGTGCCCTTGATCTTGATCTTTTCAGTGTGTGGGCTGATGCTCTAACCATTGAGAAACACCAACCATGGTAAGTATTTTTATTCTTTTTTTAAAGTATATTTTTATTGATTTGAGAGAAAAAGGGAAATGGAGAGGGAGATAGAAACAATGATGAGAAAGAATTGGCTGCCTCCTGCATGCCTGCTACTGGGGACTGAGCCTGCAACCCGGGCATGTGCCCTGACCAGGAATTGAACCATGACTGTCTGGTTCAATTGAACCATGACCGTCTGGTTAACCACTGAGCAACACCAGCTGGGCTTTCAGGAATTCTTGCTGCCCTTTCTGACTACAACTGACTATAATACCTAACTAGTATATTTTTATAATAAAATATCAAATAATGGTTTGTGTGAATATTATTCTTTAATCTCAAATATTTTATCAAGTTATGTTTGAACTGAGCGATGAGATTGAAGAGTTTCAAAAGGAACCTCAAAGCAGTCTTAAGAGTTTAAACATAATCATGAGGGCAAAAGGAGGGTATTTGTATCACTTAATAATCATATCCAGTAAAGAGGGGATATGCTAATTGACCCTCACACCATCACAAAGATGACAACGCCCACAGCCAGTAAGGAGGAAATAAGCTAATTGACTGCTCTTCCCTCAAAGATGGCAGCGCCCACAGCCAATAAGAAGGCATTATGCTAATTGACTGCCCCGTTAATTGACTGCCAGGTCCTCAAAGAGGGCGGCTCCCAGTTCCCACTCCACATACCTGCCTCCAGAATCCCCCAGTCCCCTCAGCTCCCCAGATGCTCAAGGCCGGCCTGTGGTGCAGGCAAGCCTCAGATGGCTGCTGCCCAGCCGCCCAGGGCTGCCCGAGGCTCAGTAACTAGGGCCGGCCGAGGCTTGTGCTGCCGGCAATGCCAGCAGCAGAGGTGTGATAGGGTCGTCACCTTTCCGGATCACTGGGTCGCCTCCCGCCCCTGAAGGCTCCTGGACTACGAGGGGATGGGCTAGGCTGAAGGAACCTCCCTCTGGTCATGAATTTTCATGCATGAGGCCCCTAGTTAATACATATGAAACTGGGATGCGGGATGGAAATGGGGGATGAGGACAAGTATGTGATACCTTAATCAATAAAGAAATTTTTAAAAATACATAAGAAACTACTCCCAAATTAGTGGCTTTTCACGATAGTTGTGGGGGTCAGCAGTTTGGGCTGTGTTCGGCCAGGGGTCATCACTGGATTTGATGGCAGATACTGTAGTCATTTGTAGGGTGACTTAAGATGGCCTTGCTCCTTTTGTCAGGCTATGGGTGATGGCTGTCACTGCTGGGTCTGAGGAACATCAATTGGGAGGGCTTAACATGCTCTCGTTCTCCTGTGCCTCTAAGGGATTTCTCCACTTGGTATTGAAGGCCTCTAGGGGGCAAGGTTCAGAAGTCCATCTTGTCACTTCACCTGACATCTGTTGGTTAAGCCGGCTCCAGTCCAGGAAGTGGACAAATAACTCCACCTATTGATGGAATCGGCAGCACAGTTATGTTGCCAAAATGTTGGTATACAGGAATTGGAGGAATTGTGGGCTGTTTTGTAGTCCTGTGCAGGAGCAACAGGATGAGAGTTGTGTTTTAGATGATCACTCTGAGTGTAGTGTCAAAGGGGCAGGGAAGAGAAGTCAGGCACTGGGTGATGGCTGTTCGCTGCTGAATCTAGGCAACAGTAGTCAGGATTCCAAAGCCACAGTAGTCCACTATGGGAGAGATGGTAATGAGAGTGTATGAAGACATCACAACACACTTATTTAAACATTTTTAAAATTGATATCAGGAGACAGAAACATCAATGATGAGAATCATTGGCTGCCTCCTGCACCCCCCTACTGAGGACTGAGCACACAACCCAGGCATGTGCCCTGACCAGAATCGAACCGAGACTTTCTGGTTCATAGATTGACACTGAACTTCTGAGCAAGGCCAGCTGGTCACAACTCATTTTTCATTGTCTGCTTTCAAATGTCTCAAGATGTTCTGTAACCCTATCTAATTAAAGAGTAATATACAAATTAACCATCCCTTTGCTATGTCCCCAATCAGGAGCATATATGCAAATAAACCTAACCAAGATGGCTATGGCCACAGAGAGCAGGAGGGAGGCTTGGGTTTCCCTGGCAATGGAGGAAGCCAAGCTTTCCGGACACCCTGGCCGGTCCAGGCCTATGTTTAATGCTACAAAGTTCCAATTATAGAAGATATATAAATCCCAACAAAAATGGCTACCTCCACGGAGCAAGCAGAAGGCTTGTCTCCACTCCAGGCTACAAAGTTTCAATTGTAGAAGATAAATAAATCCCAGATTGGGGGGGGGGGGGAGGCGTGGCCAGCCTGTAAACAACCACAGGCCCCTCACCCAGGCTGCCCCATGCCCCAAGGGAACCCCCACCCTGATCTGGGATACCCTTCAGGACAAACCAGCCAGCCCCCACTCATGCACCAGGCCTCTATCCTATCTAATAAAAGTAATATGCAGATTGACCATCACTCCAACACACAAGATTGCTGTCCCCATGTGGTCAAAGATCCTGCCCCTATGTGGACACAAGATGGCCACCACAAGATGGCCAGCAGGAGAGGGCAGTTGGGGTGATTAGCCTGCAGGGGAGGACAGTTAGGGGTGACCAAGCCAGCAGAGGGAAGTTGGGCGTGACCAGGCCTACAGGGAGGGTAGTTGGGACCAGGCCAGCAGGGGAGGGCAGTTGGGAGGGACCCAGGCCTGCAGGGGAGGGCAGTTAGGGGCAAACAAGCTGGCAGGGGAGTGGTTAGGAGGTGACCAGGCAGTTACGGGCAGTCAGGAAGGCAGGCAAGCGAGCAGATTGGAGCGAGCAGTCCTGGATTGTGAGAGGGATGTCCCTTGAAGGGTCCCAGATTGGAGAGGGTACAGGCTGGGCATGGGACCACTAGTAATTTAAAAAAAGGCAACAAAACAAAAAGGGGATACTGCACTGATTGAGAGAGGCAGTACTAGATCAGGCTCAACTGGGAATAATTGGTTTTTTAATCCTCACTCAAGTATGTTATATTCATTTATTATTTTTTTAGAGCACTAGTGAAACATTGATGTGAGAGAGAAACGTCAAGTGGTTGCCTCACATATGTGATCAGTCTTGCAACCTAGGTATGGGCCCATAACCTTTTGGTGTAGGAGACAATGCTCCAACCTACGGAGCCACGCTGCCAGGGCAATAATTGGTTAAGTTTTATAAAGCCTTTCTAATTAGCTCAGATAACTTAAAGGAGAAGTAAATGTATGACACTGTTTTCCTCAGCATATTGGGCCCCAAGAACTTAGAAATAATTGGAAGTAAAGAAGATTTACCTTTTGTCTGATTGCTCACACCAAGTTTCCATCATATCAAGGCCTGCCTGTTGCATTTTTCTCATATGTCACTGTTATTGGTTAGGGATGTATGATAGTACAATTAAAGTAACTTATGTATGCTGAAACCGGTTTGGCTCAATGGATAGAGCTTCGGCCTGCGGACTGAAGGGTCCCAGGTTTGATCCCAGTCGGGGGCGTGTACCTTGGTTGAGGTCACATCCCCAGTGGGGAGGGTGTGCAAGAGGCAGCTGATTGATGATTCTCTCTCATCGATGTTTCTAACTATTCCGCTCACTTAATTTCTTTTTTTTTTTTAATTTTTTTTATATTTTATTTTATTATTTTTTAATATATTTTATTGATTTTGTACAGAGAGGAAGGGAGGGAGCCAGAGAGCCAGAAACATTGATGAGAGAGAGTCATCGATCAGCTGCCTCTTGCACACCCCCTACTGGGGATATGCCCGCAACCAAGGTACATGCCCTTGACCGGAATTGAACCCGGGACCCTTCAATCCCCAGGCCGACGCTCTATCCATTGAGCCAAACCGGTCTCGGCCCTCTCTCTTCATTTCTGTAGAAAATCAATAAAATATATATTTTTAAAAGTAATTTATGTAGAGAAGAGAATAATGTAAAATTTGCATTTTAAAAGATGTTTATTTTTTAAATTTTTACTTTAAAAATATATAATGTGTGAACAAAAAGTGGGTCATCTGTGTGTTTGTTTTTTTGCACGATATTAAAAATAGCATGAAGAAATGTACACACAGAATAAAATGTGCATCTTAAAAATATTTAATCAGCGTTGCAGCAACATAGTTTCTATCTGTTGGTCTCCATAAATAAAGCTCACTGCCTGGGAAAGAGCACCAAATCCCAGAAACTGCGAGTAAAACGGTATCTTCCTGTGCTTCTACTTGTGGCTGCTTCTCAGAGTGTTTTTGAGATTTTTACATGCATGCTGCTTGATAAATAAAGCAAATGGTTCGAGAGGAATAGGCTGTTTATTGACATTCACACTGTTTGACTGCTTAGAAGCATTTACTTTGCTGTATACAGTGAGTGACTATCAGAATTTTCAACAGAGTAATTATGAAATTATCAGTAAAATAATATAGGCTATTTACTTTTAAAAAATGTATTCTTTTGCCACCCTATCTCCTACTTTTGTTATCATCTAATATCCAGTGTATTTTAAAATATCCATGATTGACTTAAAATTCTCTTTTTTTTTTCCAGTTTATTTAAGACAAAACTCAAAAGTCCACATATTTCTTAAATCTATATACTAACATACTTCTCCCTCCTTTTTTCTTTTCTTTATCTATACATTTCTTTGTTGAAGAAACTGGTCCATTTGTTTAAAAATTTTCCACATTCTAGGTTTTGCTATTTAAAGTCCAGAAAAAAAGCATTAGTTTGGTTGTTATGCCTGTGGTCTTCCGACATTTACTTCTGTCTTTTATAACATTGAGATTTCTAAGGAGACTAGGCTAGTTATCTTATTGAATGTCTCACAGTCTGGATTTGTCTGATCTTTTGTTATGATTAGATTCTAGTTAAATAATACAGATGTAAATGTGCCTTTTGAAGACTTGAAAATGTAAACATAGGAATCCTGTGGGTTTTACAGACTTTTGTCAGTTCACTTCTAGGTCTAAGTGCTAACAGCACCTGATGTCATAGGAAGCATTGTAACAGAGTCAGAGAACATTTAGTTAAGAAGAGTTTCAGATTTCCTCTCTGGAAGTCAAAAACTGCAGAAAACTAGCCGAATAGGCCGTCTTAAAACAGAAACTGAAAAAGGGATTTTGACACTTTTAGTATGGAGGACGTTTCTTCCCCTAACCACTGAATTACATCATCACTTCCCTGAAGCTTTTGAGCATATGACTGACTCCAGTGCCTACGTTTCCTTATGTGGCTAGAACAGTGGTTGCAAACTCATTAGTCAACAGAGCCAAATATCAACAGTACAACGATTGAAATTTCTTTTGAGAGCCAATTTTTTTAAACTTAAACTATATAGGTAGGTATATTGTTATTAACTTAATTAAAGTACCCTAATTAGCCACAATCGAGGGGCCAAAGAGCCGCACGTGGCTTGTGAGCCGCAGTTTGCCGACCACTGGGCTAGGAACTTTAGATCTATAGAGGCCAAGATGCTGAAAAGCAACACATTAAGAGACAGAATAGTGAGGTCCTGGAATCTCAGTCCCTTGAAGAATCAGTTGATTTTTTACCAAAGCTCCAGTAATTTGTATTGATGGGATGAGTAGAAAGTCTATAATCATGGTATGTTCTATAATTAGGGAAGATGAAAGAATCAGGGATACTGCAGAATGAAGTTTTATCTTAATGGGACTAGAGGCCCATTGCATGACATTCCTGCACTGGGAGGACGCAGGGGTCCCTCAGCCTGGCCTGTGCCCTCTTGCAGTCTGGGACCCAGGCCTAAGCCAGCAGTCGGACATCCCCGAGAGGTCCTTGCTACAGTTGCACCAGACCGTAAGCCCTGCTGCTGGCTGAGCAGCATGTTCCCTGTGGGAGCGCACTGACCGCCAGGGGGCAGCTCCTGCATTGAGCATCTGCTCCCTGGTGGTCAGTGCATGTCAGTGACCTGTCATTCTGCTGTTTTGGTCGATTTGCATATTAGCCTTGTGTTACATAGGATTATTGTATAGGATAGGTTTTAAATTTATACTGTGTATGTGTGTTAGATGCCATTTTAGGATAATGGATTTTAAAAATTTCTCTACTCTTTTTTAATAATAATTTTCTTCCTTTTTTAGCAAGAAGGCTTTGGCCGACCAAGTGTGTACCATGCTGCAATTGTAATTTTCCTTGAATTCTTTGCTTGGGGCCTGTTGACAACTCCAATGCTAACTGTAAGTATTGCTGAACTGAGTCCTCATTTATACGAGCCAAAGAGAAGTGTTTAAGTCTATGTTTGCAGGACCATATGTCTACATATGTGTTTGAGAGTAGTTTTTGACAGCAGTTTAAAGACTGCTTATCCCATGGGGTGGTTTATGCTGTGCCAGATGGAACCACCTACAACACAGAGAGAGAGAAAACACCAATGTAAGAGAGGCATATCCATCATATCAATTGGTTGCCTCCTGTAGGAACCCTGACCAGTCTGGGGGTCAAATATGCAGCCCGCTGACCACGGCTGTAGCTCCGCAGGTTTGAGAGTAAGATTCCAGGAGCTTATTTCATAACCTTTTATTGACCCTTTCAACTATAGATATTTTTTCAAACAAAGGAGAGAATGGGCTACTATGCTTCAGTTTACCAGTTAACATCTGTGAATATTTGTGGGGGTTTTTTGCTGGCAAAATGGATGATTACCACAATGTTAAGGCATAAAAGAGGTCATCAGGCATGCTGGTATTTCTAATGAACAACATAAACTGATGAACAAAAGAACAAAAAACAAATCCAGAGACAGAGAAACATTGATCAGACTGTCAAACCTCAGAGGGAAGGTGGGGGTAAAGGGAAGAGATCAACCAAGGACTTGTGTGCATGCATGTGAGCCTAACCAGTGGACACAGACACCAGAGACAGGGCGCGGGCATGAGTGGGGGTTGGGCGGATAAGGACACATAGTAATACCTTCATCAATAAAGAAATCTAGAAAGAAGGAGTGCTGGTATTCCTAATGGTGTGAAAACCATAATGACCACAGGCAATGGGAGAGGCAGGAAACTGCTGTGGACTGTTGTGGAGGAATGAGAAGCAGCCAGCCTGTGGCAGCAAGGGAGACGCTGCATGCTGGAGTGAGGCTGAGCGTTCAGGGCGAGTGGGAGGGGGTTCGACAAATTTAAGAAAGTGTTTGTTGACAGATGAAATGTACTGTGTGTGAGAAAGGTTAGAACAATCTGGGGATCTGGATGAATTAATCCAATCTACATTACTTCTAATGGGGAAAAATGATTCGGTTTTCGAACAAATCTTCTGGAACAAGTTAAGTTCGAGAACTGAGGTTCTCCTACATCGTTGTATTTTCCATATTAACAACTGTAAATCTACTTTTGCTCAACCACATAAGCTCACATACACGCAGGTATTGTACAGGAAATACTTTCTCCAAGTTTTCTAAAATATGTTTTTAAAGTGATAAACATAACTTTTATGTTTACAATAGTCCTTCCCAAGAATGAAGGCGATATCTTCCTTGAGTTTTTATTTCTTAATATGTTTTAATTGATTTTAGAGAGAGGAAGGGAGATAGACAAACAGCGGTGAATCTGTTTGGCTGCCTCCTGCACGCCCCCTGCTGAGGACAGAATGCACAACCTGGATGTGCACCCTGACCAGGGATCACAGCACAGGGTGACACTCGACCACCATCCACACCAGCCAGGGATCCCTGAGTGTTTTAATGTGAAAGGTGTTTTAAAAAATGAAAACTTTGGCCTTAACTGAGATATTAATATACTTCTTAAATTAGATTTACTTTATCATGGTAACAGTTGTCTTTTGTAGTTCAATTTATTTATATCTTTAATTTCTTTGACTATCGTAAGAGTTTGAATATTGCTGTTTTCTTTACAGATGCTTTATTTTATGGAGGTTTAGCCATTAGCTTTAAAAACAATTATTGACTTCTTTTATTTATCCCTCCTATAAGATTTTACTGTTTCCTTCTCTCTTTTTTTAGTAGAGAAAATTAGAAAAGTTTTAAAAAGCATAAATAGAAAAACTTTAGAGGAACAACCTGCATCATGGCTGTTACCCAGAAATAGTCACTCAGACTGCCAGAAATTAGAAAGCATAGACTGTCATCCATGCATGGTTATGGTTTTACCAAATTAAAAAGGTTATCTCTTATTCCTAGAGAGCAGTATCTGCATCGGGGAATGCATGTTTGGATCATTTTGAGTGTAGAATTGTTTTAGGGGTTCTAAAGGGAAGACAGCTGGGGGCCGCGGATCAGCACTGCTGCCCCTTCAACTGCATGAGGGTCACCTGGAGTTTTGAGTGCTGTCCTCACTCCCCCTAGTGGCCGAGGCTGTGAGAAAGCCTGCAGTCAAGAGAGTCAGAAGTGTCTTTCCGCCGAAACCAGTTTGGCTCAGTGGATAGAGCGTCAGCCTGCAGAGTAAAGGGTCCCAGGTTCAATTCTGGTCAAGGGCATGTACATTGGCTGCGGGCACATCCCCGGTGGGGGGTGTGCAGGAAGCAGCTGGTCGATGTTTCTCTCTCATCGATGTTTCTGGCTCTCTATCCCTCTCTCTTCCTCTCTGTAAAAAATCAATAAAATATACTTATTTTTTAAAAATCAATAAAATATATTTTAAAAGAAAGAAAAAAGAAGTGTCTTTAAGCTCTCAGCCTTGGTCTGATGGATAAAAGGGAAAAGGGGAGGTTGAGAGAGTATCACTCCATGGATCAGAGAAGCACTTTAAAAAAAAAAAAGTGTTGATTTTTTACAGATTTTTTTACATCTCTTTCATTTCTGATTTTATTTACTTGAGTCCTCTCTCTTTGTTACTTGATGAATCTGGCTAAGGGTTCATCAATCTTGTTTATCTTTTCAGAGAATTGGCTCTTGGTTTTGTTGAACTTTTTTTGTTTGTGTTTTTGTTTTGTTTTTTAGTCTCTATGTCATTGATTTCTGCATTGATCTTTATTATTTCCTTAGTTCTATTTACTCTGGGCCATTCTTGTTCTCTTTTTAATTCTTTTAAAAATATATATTTTATTGATTTTTTTACAGAGAGGAAGGGAGAGGAATAGATTTAGAAACATTGATGAGAGAGAATCATAGATCAGCTGCCTCCTGCCCGCCCCCTACTGGGGAAGTGCCCACAACCAAGGTACATGGGGATGGTTCAGTTCACAATCCAACTATCCACTGAACCAAACTGGTTTTGGCCTCTTTTTAATTCTTTAATTTGTAGGGTTAGATAGTTATTAAATATTTTTATTTGTTTTTGTTTTTTCAGGTAGGCCTGCAGTGCTGTGAACTTCCCTAGCTAAATGCTTTTGATGTGTCCCAGAGTTTTTGGATTGTTTTGTGTTCATTTTCATTTGTATCCTGGAAGTTTTTTATTTTTTTCTTGATTTCATTGGTAACCCAGTGTTTAATAACATCCTGTTTAACTTCCATGTGTTTGAATGTTTTTGAGTGTTTTACTGTGGTTGATTTCCAATTCATGACATTGTGATCCGAGAAGATACTTGATATGATTTTAATTTTCTTGAACTTGCAGAGAATTGTTTTGTGTTCTAACACATGGTCTACCTTCGAATGACCCATGTGCACCTGAGAAGAGTTTACATTCTGCAACTTTTGGATGAAATGTTCTGTAAATGCCAATTAAATCGATCTGATCAAGTGTGTCACTTAATATCACTGTTTCCTTGTTGGGTTTTTTGTCTAGAAGATGTATTTAACAAATTCAGTGGGGTGTTAAAGCCCCCTACTATGACTGTATTGCTGTGGATCTCTCCCTTTAAGTCTCAGAAGTTTTTTTTTTTTAATAATACATATTTACTAGAGGCCTGGTGCACAAAATTCCTGCACTGGTGGGTTGGGAGAGGGGTCCCCTCAGCCCTCTCACAGTCTGGGGCTCCCAGTGGGCAGTCGGACATCCTTAGCTTTGACTTGAAGGTGGGGTCCCACCGCTGCTGCTGCGCTTGCCAGTTATGAGCCCAGCTTCTGGCTGAGTTGCTCCGCCTGTGGGAACACACTGACCATCAGTGGACAACTCCTGTATTGAGCATTTTCCCCCTGGTGGTCAGTGCATGTCATAGCGTCATAGCTCTGTTGTTCTGCTATTGCAATATTATGTCAATTTGCATATTAGCCTTTTATTAGATAGGATTTATTTGCTCCTATATTTACCAGAGTTACATCCTCTTGTTGAAGCAGTCCCTGTAGTATTATGTAGTGACCTTTTCCTCTTGATATGGCCTTTGTTCTGAAGTCTGTTTTGTCTGGTATGAGTATTTCTTCTTCTTTTTTTTTTAAAATATATTTTATTGATTTTTCACAGAGGAAGAGAGAGGAATAGAGAGTTAGAAACATCGACGAGAGAGAATCATCGATCAGCTGCCTCCTGCATACCCCCCACTGGGGATGTGCCCGCAACCAAGGTTCATGCCCTTGCCTGGAATCAAACCCAGGACCCTTCAGTCCGCAGGCCGACACTCTATCCACTGAGCCAAACCGGTCTTGGCTGGCATGAGTCTTTCTACCCCAGCATTTGTTAGTTAGTTGGTTTGTTTGTTTGTTTCCATGGAATATTTTTTTATACCCTTCACTTTCAACCTGTGTGAATCTATTGTACTGAGGTGGGTCTCTTATAGATAGCAAATAATTGGGTTATGTTTTCTTATCCATTCAGCTACCCTGTGTCTTTTTTATTGGAGCATTAAATCATTTACATTTAAGGTTATTATTGACAGGTATCATTTACTGCCATTTTTTTCTTTATACCAATGTCCTGTCTCAATTTTTTTCTTCTTAAAGCAACCCCTTTTGCATTTATTGCAATGTTGGTTTGGTGGTAATTAACTCTTTAACCGTTTTATTATTATTATTATTATTATTATTATTGTTGGAAGCTTTTTATTTCACCTTCAATTTGAAATGATAGCCTTGCTGGGTAGAGTAGCCTTGGTTTCAAGTCCTTGCTTTTCATTATTTTGTCAGTCCCCTCTGGCTTGAAGTCTTTCTGTTGAAAATCAGTTAATACACTGATGGGAACTTCTTTGTAGGTAACTTTCTCTCTTGAAGCCTTTAAGATCACCTCTTCATATTTAACCTTTGCCATTATAATAATTATGTGTTTTATTGTGGGTTTCTTAGGGTTCATCTTGATTGGAACTCTCTGTGCTTCCTTCACTGGTGGGTCTTTGTCTTTCACCAGGGTAGGGAAGTTTGTATATTTGTTTGTTTGTCTGTAGCTATGTTTTGTGCATGGTGTCTTCTTTTTGTACCTGATTTCCTTTGATTATGTACTATTCATTATATTGATACTTGAAAAAAAAAAATATGTATGGTTGGTTTAAAGTCTAGACTTCAGAGTTTTCCCTGTTAGACATAAGGAGGTTACCAGTCTGGAGTCACTATAATCCACATTTAAGGCTGTTGTTTCCTTGGTTGTCTCAGTGACGTAAAACTGGGCTGCAGGTCCAACTGGGGTTTGTGTAACCATGTGGTACCTTCTTAAAATTGTTGGTGATTGAAGGGGTAGCTAATTAACAGTTTATTTTTTACTGCAGGTGCTTTTGTAACAAAGCAACCGAGTGACTGAAGTGCCTTTTTGGCTCTTATTTAGGTTTCTGTCTCACTATTTTGTTAACTTTTTATACTTTTAACATTTCATCTATACTTAAAAATTATTCATTACATGGTTCCATCTAACTTCCCTAGCCTGCCATTAACAGAAGCAGAAATATTTTCCTTTAATTTACTTTTGAATTTGCCTTGATCTTTGTTTCCTTTTTTTAGGTTCTACATGAAACATTTCCTCAACACACATTCCTCATGAATGGTCTCATTCAAGGTGTAAAGGTAAGAATAATTGTGAATGAAGCCAGGAATTCTTAGCAGTTTAACTCTGGAAGTTTAGATAGGATTTAGGAAAACAGTTATTATTTGTTTTGTAGACCTAAATTTAAAATTTTAGCTGGATTATCAAAGTCAAAATAAAATACCATCCAAATCAGTAAGGCATAAAATGATTTACTGGTAAATGAAAGACTGTTTTTATTAACATGTACATTGCAGTTTATAGAGGGTTCCATTTTGTAAACTTGTGATTTCTCTACCTATCAGCAGAATATAATGGGCAAGTGCTATCTTCTTTTGAGAAATACTTTTAGATTGAGGAAGAAGAATCAAGATTTAGTTGGGTATATAGACTTTTGGCAAGGCTGGTAGTTGTCAGTATTGCAGATGTCTCCATTTCCCCCCTTCACCCTTCTCCACCTGAGGCTTTCCCTGCCCTATTGTCTGTGTCCATGGGTTATGCATATATGCATATATATTCTTTGGTTATCTCTAACCATCCCTTTCAACCCCTTTTCCTCTGAGATCTGTCAGTCTGGTCCAGGCTTAAATGCCTCTGGACCTATTTTGTTTTGCAATTTATTTTGTTCATTAGATTTCACATATGAGATGTGATATTTGTCTTTCTCTAAGTGGCTTATTTTGTTCAGCATAATATGTTACAGGTCCTAGCCACACTTTTTGAGTTCTCAACCTCTTAACATAATTAGCCTTTATTGTTTGAATTTTAATGTGCTACTATAACAGCTTATAAGTATTTCTCATTTAAATAAAATGATGAAGATAATGCTATACTCCAGTTAGACTTCATAGTAAAGTATATGCATATACTAATTTTCCCTTCCCAGCTTAGATCATGTAAATCTGTGCTTTGTATTGAACTGTACACTTAAAGTTATGCCCTAATAATTTGCTAAATTCGTGCACAGGGAGGGAGGATCCCTCTTGCAGTTTGGGACCGTGAGGGATCCTTAGCACTGCCTCAGAGGCAGGAGAGGTTCGCAGCCATGAACTGGGCTTCTGGCACTAACCACCAGGGGGCAGCTCTGGCATTGAGCATCTGCCCCCTAGTAGTCAGTGTGTGTCATAGCAAACAGTTGTTCCGCTGTTCGGTCGACTTGCATAGTTTTATTATATAGGAGTAGAGGCCCAGTGCATGAAATTGGTGCATGGTGCAGGGGGAGGGTGTCCCTTGCCAGGGCCAGCCTGGCAGGTGAACCAGGCTGAGGTAGAGAGGTGGGAATTGAGAAAAGAAAGGAAGAAGAGTGGAGTCGGGACGACTACAGGTCATCCAGGAACTGCGCAATGCTTCTTATACACAAAACACTGAATAGGAGGTCTGTTAAGAGGAATGTATTCTTTGTTCCTCTTAATCTCTAAAGGAGAGATAGAGCCGAAGGACAAATTGTTAGACAGTAAATCTCAGTAAATAATTACAGACTTCTTGGCAAGCCATGAAAGGCTGCTCTCATTTTACTGATAGTAGCCATCCAAACAAGTCTGGGGAAATTGTGTGGGTAGGGGGCCAGCCCTACTAGACCCCTCAATTGCAAGGACCTTGTCAGCTTACACCCTGTCTCCAACAGTCCCTCAGCCCGGCCTGCACCCTATCCAATCTGGGACCCCTCTCACAATCCAGGACTGCTGACTCTTAACCACTCGCCTGCCTGATTGCCCCTAAATGCTTCCACCTGTCAGCCTGAACACCCCCTACTTGATCCTCTGCTGGCTTGATTGATGCCTAACTGCTCTTCTGCAGGCCTGATTGCCCCAAACTGCCCTCTCCTGCTGGTCTGGTCGCCCACAACTGTCCTCCCCTGCCGGCCATATTGTAATGACATGAAGGCGCCATGCGAGAGCTACCTAGTCTTTTATTAGTATAGATAAGTTGCAAGACTGCTATTCTCTATAGCATTATCTCAATCTGTCTAGATTTTGCTTCCTGGCATTTGTCAACAGCTTGGCTCAAATGAACTCACAAAACTTCTTCAGAGGTTTGAATGTTTCTTTTTCTTTTTTTAAATAAATCTTTATTGTCCAGATTATTACATTTGTTCCTCTTTCCCCCCCCCCCATAGTTCCCCTCCACCCTGTTTCCACCCCACCCTCGCCCTTACTCCCACCCCCATTGTCCTCATCTATAGGTGTGCGATTTTAGTCTAGTCTCTTCCCACACCCCCTACCATTTTTCCCCTGAGGATTGTCAGTCCACGCCCATTCTATACCTCTGATTCTGTTATATTCACCAGTTTATTCTGTTCATCAGATTTTTTTATTCCCTTAATTTTCAGATTCACTTGTTGATAGATATGTATTTGTTGTTCATAATTTTTATCTTTATTGTTTTCTTCTTCTTCCTCTTCTTAAAGAATACCTTTCAGCATTCATCTAATACTTGGTTTGGTGGTGATGAACTTCTTTAGCTTTTTTTTTTTTTTTAATATATTTTATTTGATTTTTTACAGAGAGGAAGGGAGGGAGATAGAGAGCTAGAAACGTCGATGAGAGAGAAACATCGACCAGCTGCCTCTTGCACACCCCCTGCCGGGGATGTGCCCACAACCAATGTACATGCCCTTGACCAGAATCAAACCTGGGACCTTTCAGTCCGCAGACCAACGCTCTACCATTGAGCCAAACCGGTTTCGGCGATCTCCTTTAGCTTTTACTTCTCTGTGAAACTCTTTATCTGACTTTCAATTCTGAATGATAACTTTGCTGGGTAGAGTAATCTTGGTTGTAGGTTTTTGCTATTCACCACTTTGACTATTTCTTGCCACTCCCTTCTGGCCTGCATAGTTTCTGTTGAGAAATCATTTGACAATGTTATGGGTGCTCCCTTGTAGGTAATTAACTGTTTTTCTCTTGCTGCTTTTAATATTCTCTCTTTGTCTTTTGCTCTTGGCATTTTGATTATGATGTGTCTTGATGTGGTCCTGTTTGGATTCCTTTTGTTTGGGGTTCTCTGCACTTCCTGGACTTGTAAGTCTAATTCTTTCACCAGGTGGGGAAAGTTTTCAGTCATTATTTCTTCAAATAGGTTTTCTGTCTCTCTCTTCTTCTGGCACCCTCATAATTCTGATGTTGGTATGCTAGAAGTTGTCCCAGAGGCTCCTTACACTATCTTCATATTTTGGGATTCTTTTTTCTTTTTGCTCTTTTGGTTGGGTGTTTTTTGCTTCTTTGTATTTCAAGTCTTTGACTTGATTCTTGCCATCCTCTAGTCCACATGTGTCAAACACAAGGCCCGAGAGCCAAATCCGTCCCGCCAGGCCTTGCAATGTGGCCCGCACCGCGCTGTCATCACTGCACTCCGCTGCGTTTCCATCACAATGACAGTTTATGACTGTTCAGTAAACCATTCGGCCCGCGATTTAGGCTGGATTTTAGATTTTGGCCCCTTCTCTGATTGAGTTCGACACCCCTACTCTAGTCTGCTGTTGGGTCTCTGTATATTATTCTTTATTTCAGTCAGTATATGCTTGATTTTTAGTTGGTCCTTTTTCATATCCTCGAGGGTCTCACTAAATTTATCAGTGCTTTCTAGAAAATCCTTATAACTGTGTTTTTGAACTCTATATCCAGTCATTTGCTTTCCTCCACTTCTTTCATTTCTGACATGCTTCTTTGTCTCCCCATTTTGGTTGCTTCCCTGAGTTGATAGAGTGGCTTTGTGTGCTAGATGTCCTCTAGGGCCCAGTGGCTCAGCCTCCCCAGTTACTTGAGATGGACACTTTTGGTGCACCCCTTTGTGGGCTGTATGCACAGTTTTGTTGTAGTTAAGCCTTGATTGTTATTGGTATCACTGGGAGGAATTGACCTCCAGGCCAATTGTCAATGAGGATCAGCTTTGTTTACGATGGGAAAACTTCTTTGCTGGTGACACCTCAATGGGGCAAGACTTGTTTCCCTGGGGCTTTGGTGCTCACTGAGTCTGCCCCCAGAGTGTGTCCCTTATGGATCTGAGGAGTTGTAATCTGGATGGTCCTACTCTGACTTCTGGGTACACTGGCTTTTGGATCGCCAAGGAGGTGCTAATTTAGCCTCTGCCTGAGGCCACCCAGCAGGAGCTATGGAGAGATCTGCAGATTCCACTTCTTCGTTTGGGGTTTGGAGGTGTCCAGATGAGGCCAAGCTGTGAAGCAATGCAAGCTACTGCGGGGCCTTGGGCCTTCTTCTGGATGTTCTGGGTCTCTCTGACTCAGCTGCAGTTTGTTAGGTAATTTTAGATTTCAAAGATCCAGGCTATTCATATGCAAAAACCTCTGTGCACAGCTTGGGTGCGGGTGGGTCTCAGGGCAGAGCAAACAGCAATGGCTGGCCATCGGCCCTGCCCTAAGAGGCCCCCGGGTCTCAGTGTCCCTCAGTAACCACTGCAAGCACCTCTGAGTGAAAGCTGCCCTTGAGTTCCGCCTTATGCCAGACAGTCCGTTTTCTCCCAGAATGAATATGAGTCCCCAGATTCTCGCCCAGAACTGGAGTTCAGAGCAGTCGGGAGCTTGTGTCTCCCTCCCAATTGAAAAAGACAGCAGCAGAATTACTCATTTGCCTCTCCTTGTGTGTGCCTCTGTACCTCTGCACTTTACTTCTCAGCTCTTCTGAGTCTCAATGTGCTTTTCTCTTTCCTTCTAGTTATAGAATTTCCACCCAGCCAGCCTTCCTGTGGTTCTGGATGATGTCTGTTTTGTCTTGTTGTTTTGAAGTGGTTGTGTGAGGCAACAATTTCAGGTGTTTACCTATGCTGCCATCTTGGTTTCTCTCTGTCCATTGATTTTTAGAGAGAGTGGAAAGGCAAAGTGAGACACAGAGAGAAACATTGATGTGAGAGGGGCACATCAATTGGTTGCCTCCTGCATATGCACCCTGATCAGGACTGGGGATTGAGCCTGAAACCAAGGTATATGCCCTTGACTGAAATCCTTCAGTCTGTAGATCAATGCTCTATTCACTGATCCAAACCAGTTAGAGTGGATATTGTATTCTTTATTTTTGGTTATTTTCTT